TGGGTGAGTGAGTGGCCAGAGGTGGAGAGTTGTTTTGCAGAGTCAGATCCTCCAGAGGTGCCACATTCAGCACAGATCTCACTCTCAGTGCTTTTGAACCTGTGAAGGGAGGCAGCACAGAGGTGACCAAAGCTCAGACCACACTCCAGTCCTGCCCTTCAGGGACTCACCCCTTCACTGGCCAAAARTGCTCTGTCAAGGGACAGTTCAGGATGTTTCAGGTATTTATTGTGTGCCCTGGTGGATAAAACCAGCCTGTGAGAGATACTCTCATCCAAGAGAAGGGCTGTGAAATCCACAGCTGCAGGAACATCAATCTCTTACATCAGCAGCTGTGCCCATTCAGCAGAGCACATGAATCTCCAAATCTCACTTTGAGTGGGAAGGGAGGGCAGGGACTCCTGTTCTGGTGGAATTTCAAGTGTCTTTAATTCAGTCTGAAGGGATGTGCAGTGCCTTTGTGCTGCCAGCYAGCTGRACCCTGGCTCAGCCCAATCCCAGCAGCACACAGACACCAGCCCAGACCCTCAGTGCTGACCTGCTGGCACTATGGCCAGGCCAGGAGAGGACACTGAGAGGCTGGTGAGCTGTCATGGCTCTGAGGAGGGTTGGGTTCAGCCCTAAAACATTCCCCAGCTGTCATTAAGCAAGTAATCATTAAATTGATRCAGATCCCCGGTGATTCAAAGGTTTCTTGGGGCTCCTGTGATGAGTGGCCACRCCAGGCATGCCCGTGGTTCCATCAGGTGCATCTACACATCTACCAAGCTGGAGGAGGGGAGCAGCAGCCCTGTCTTRGCCCCAAGATCACCCTCTTGATGGTTTTGACCTGCTTTGGTACARGCACAGCAGAGATTGTCACCTCAGTGTCTGCCWGCAKGTGTTCTGTGGTCACAGCAGGGCARAGCATCTGAACAGGCAGCAGCAGGGATAGRAATGCATGAATTTGGGAGATCAGAGCAGTTCATCCATCTCAATACATGGATATGACTGCAGAGCCAACAAATAACTCAGATAAACATTTCCTGCGTCTCCTTCCACCTGCCCCGCTCTGCCCGTGACACAAGCCATGTTCTTCACGCAGTAATTGCCCACGAGGTGCAAATTACCCAATTACACACTTCATTTTCTTTAGCTGATGCTCACCAGAGGCAACAAAAGCTGCCAGCACCCCTGCTCCAGCTCCATCAGCTTGCCAGCACAGCTCAGGTGATGGAACAGCCCCAGATCTTGGAGCAACAGGCTCGCAGGCAGGAGAACTTGCAAGGTCAGGAGTATTGGAGAGGGGCTGAGCAAACAGGCAAGTGGACTTTCAAACTGGATTAGCAAGGAGCTTGAGGTGGTGTGTTGCCTTGACAGACAGTTTTTAATGATGACACAGACATGGCTGAGGGGAGAAAAAGGGTTTTACATCAATATTTGGGATCCCAGGTGCACAACCTGATGGCAGAATGCACACCTGTGTACAGCACGGGTGCAAGTTTTACAGGTTTTAGGAATTAGCATATCTATCTAGGATTCCCCAATAAGAAACTTCACAAATGCAGTAATATCCCCCTATTCTAATGAATCCCCCCCTGGATGAGGCCAGAGCCCAGTTTACACAAGATGTTCTGGACAGAAGGCTTCACCCAAGGCTGAGCTCGGGTTTAAGACAGCACAGGGCACACTGATCCCTTCCTCAGGGTGTGTGGTCTCTCTGCCCAGCAGAACTCCTAAACTGAGCTGGAATATCAGGCTTCAGGAATTACAAACGTGGGCTAAGGGGTACAGGGGATGCACAGAGGGTATAGAAAGCATAAAAAGGAAAAGCAAAAATCATCAGGCATCAGTGACCGTGTTCTGTGGTGACAGTGTTCTGTGGTGACAGTGTTCCATGGTGACAGTGTTCTGTGGTGACAGTGTTCTGTGGTGACAGTGTTCTGTGGTGACCATGTTCTGCAGCAGCGCTCACTGCCAGGAGGCAGAATCAATGCCACCCACAATAATGTTGTCTGGCTTTGGACCCTCCCTCCCCTTCTCCTTCTGCCCTGTAGGTTCCCCTGTTATTTCTTTCCTCCTCCAGCTCTGGGAGGATGAGTGGATGCAGAKGGAAGATGGGCAGCCCATAGCAATTTCCTGAAAAGGGGAGTGTGGCTCTGYTTTCTGCTGCTGACAGGGACCATACAGGGAAAACCCCTCTGCCTTCCAGCTTCACTTCCCAAAGCCTCACAGAGCCAACCCCATCAGGGAGGAGAGCCAGATGTGACAAAACATGAGGCTTTTGCTTTGAGTACGTGCAGGTTGGCACTCTGAGAGGACTAGGAACACACATGATGCTGAAGAAATTGAAGTTGAAACTAAGAGCTGAAGGGAGGGAGGGGGCTCAACTGTCTTCACTCTGGTCCCTGAGTCAGTGGGTGCATTGTCAGCATGGGTACAGCTACACAAATAACTCTGTGTCAGTCCTTGGGGACAAACCTGGGTCCAGGAGGGACGAGCTCTGCTGGACTCATCTCCTGCCACACACTGCAGATCATCACCACCCAACCACGGAACCATTCATATATTTTCGTTGGAAAAGCCTCCAAAATCATCCAGTCCAGCCATTCCCCCAGCACTGCCAAGGCCACCACTGACCCATGTCCCCAAGTGCCACATCCACACATCTTTCAAATCCCTCCAGGAATGGGGATTCCACCCTCTCACTGGGCAGCTGCACCAGGGCTGCAAAAAGCCTTTATTCACAACCCTTTTGATGAAGAAATTTTCCCCAATATCCAATCTAAACATCCTCTGGGGCAATCCCCCATTCATCCATCACAAAACACTGCAGGAACTTCTTAGGGAGACAGGAAAAATGTCAKTACTTGCAGCCTTTAAATTTACCACTACAAAAAACAGTATTTCATAAATATAGATGGGATCATGGTTGTGGTATTGGACCAGAAGCCAGGCTTCCATACTGAAATTTTACATATTATTTAAGCACAGACCAGGGGAAAAAAGGTCAGTGTGTGGATCATATAGCCATGGATGATTTTGTTTACAAACTTTTTCAGCTGATTCCAATAGTCGTCAATCTTTTCAGCTATCCTTATTAACTCTGTGTTTGAAACACTACAATACCTCATTCCAAATGGCCCAACAAGAAAATCAGYCTACAGATAAAGCTCCAAGGGTCTRTRGTTCTGCACTGATTTAGCAGATACTTTTCCAGGAGATGCTGCAGTAAAGCATTRAAGAGGGAGAGGATCACACCAGTGTTAACTGCAGCTATTCTTTACATGAATCATTCATGCTTCGCTGCAAGAAGATGTTTTTAACATGGATTTCACTTTAATCTTTTACTGCAATCCAYTGAGCCCCGCTATGCTGTGAGTGGTGAAATGCTTAAAAAGAGTCACACCACCAAAAACTTTACATCATGAGCAGATAAAATCAAACTACACACAGAGGAAGAGCAGGGAGGTACACAGAAAATGTGTGTGACAGGGATACAGATCTCTTACTCGCTGCTTCCACCATCCACACCCTCAGATTTCTCAGCTGCTGGTGGTGTTAATTATGATTTACAACAATTAAGGACAGTTTGCAAAGTAATTAGACCAGTGGGTGCTCATGCTCCCGCTTGAGGATGACATGCACAGGGACTGGGCAGGGATATAAGTCGATATTTGAAATAATAACACCCCTGGCTCAGTAGCAACAGGYCAAACCAACCATAAATAACAGCTGGATACTCTCAGAGCCTCCTCCAGAACGCCCGGGGAAAACAGAAACCTCTCTTTTCACAAACGCTTTTAACAGAAGAAAGAAAGTGACCAGAAAGCAGCAAACATTTCTCTCYATCACATCTCAAGTCCCCTCCTCTWGATTTTCCYGAAGTTCAGCAGGGAACAGAGGTGGAGAGTGTCAGGAGCTGGGGTGAAGCACCAAAGGGAACCCTGCCATTCCTCCTGGGGTTTTTCTGTCATTCCTCCTGGGGTTTTTCTGTCATTCCTCCTGGGGTTTTTCTGTCATTCCTCCTGGGATTTTTCTGTCGTTCCTCCTGGGGGTGGGCGCTGGCTCTGGGCACAGAGAAGGTGGCAGCAGCGGCTCAGCAGCATCTTCTCCTGGCTCTGGGAGCCCTCCAGCGGCTGCTACAGCCGGAATCACGGAATGGTTTGGGATGGGAGGTGCTTTAAAGCTCATCCTGTTCCCCCAAGGGCAGGGACACCTTCCACTAGCCCAGGYTGCTCTGAGCAAGAGGTTAAACTGAGCCACGGGATCACCGTAAGGGAGATGAACAGGGGGGAAAACACGGCCAGCTCCCCACCAGCCCCAAGCCCGGCAGATGAGCAAACTGCACAGTAAATTGGCTAAAGATAAAAGAAGGAAAGCAGCGAGCCTTTGCACAAGGATGTTGAGCAAAAAGCTGGAATTCAGCTTATTTCAAATGAAGGAATGACCATTGACTCATGGGGGTCATGTGAGTGTGAACAGAGCAGGATGGCAGGGGACACCAAACCGCTCACCCACCAGGGAACTTGGGCACAAGGCATTTCAAAAGAAGAGTGTTTTGGGTTTTTTTTCCTGTGCCTAAGAATGACAACAACCAGTGATTACAAGGGGAAAATAAATAAACAATGCCCAGCTGGTTTGCAGGCTCCAGGTTCAGGAGCAGGAGCTGCCTCAGGCCAGAGCAGCAGGAGTCTTGCTTGTCCCACASCCTCAGGCAGATTGTGAGGATTTTCTCTTGAGTTGGTAGCACTGCAAAGCCATGTCCTCCTGCCCCATCACACACATGGCATGGGTGTTTGTATCCCCAATCTGCAATTCTCTCTCTTTAGCCGGAAAACAAYAATACCCTGATTCCTCCTGGTGTAATTTTCACATGACTGACCACAGAACTATTAATATCTGAACCCAGAGCTGGTTCAGCTAAACAACTCATCCCCTCCAAGGAGAGGAAAACCACAACTTCTTCCACCCCTGGAAAAACCTTTTGTGAGTGCAAGAGCAGGGGTTCAGATGCAACGAGATGGTTCTGGTTTGCTGATGCCCCTTGGGGTAGAGTGTCCACCAGCATGAGAGAGCTCGGCTTGGTTCTCCTGTGCCTCCTTCGCATCTCCAGGAAGGGTGAGTCCTGAGCTTGCTGCCAATTCCTGCCTGATCACATCYTCTCCTCTCGCTGCACTCCTGGAGTGCCAGGGAACTGCCTGTTGCAACAAACTCCCCAAGAATTGCACCCTCCTTTGCATCGCTTAAAAGTATCCTGAAATTCCAAACGCACGAGACAACACTGGGAAAACTCAGAGTTGGCAACTGTCAGGGAGTTCTTCAGCTTGTGGGGTTTTTTTTTTCAGTTTTTAAATTTTTTTTCTAACCTGTGCCAGAAGTTTGTCTAACTTTTCTTCAGCTTTGTCAGGTGGATGCTTCATCACTGCCCTGGTTCATACTCCTTAGGAGCTATTGTGAAATAAACACAGTATTTTCCAGCTCCTCTGAGAACTTAAGCTCTCATTTAACTTCAGATATGTACTCAAATTCCACCAAACTCCATGGGATTTGCTTAGCTCTGCTGTCAAACAGCATTTGCCAGAGCGAGGGTAWTGCCTGGGGTGGTCCCCAGCTCTTGCTGTGGTCTCTGTGACCTTCCCAGGGACAACCAGCACAACTGACCTGACATCTCCTTTTTGGGGGTTACCTTCTGCAAGGTGTGCAGGCTATTTGTCTATCATCTCTTTCTCGTGAGAGCTTCAATTCCAAGAAAGAATGGAGGCTGGATATTAACAAAAGGAATAATGGGAGACCTACCATGCTGAAGCTTTAGAGTTMTGGGTGAATTGCACACTGAGTGTTGACAACTCCCTCCACTCATAACCAAGCAAACTGTGTTTCCATGGAGATGGGTGGAGATGCTAAYGTTAAAAGCACTTATTTTAAACATTATTTTTCATCAGGAAGGCAAGGGGGGGCTTATGTGCTAAAAAAAAAAAAAAAATTAAGTGTCCTTTGCTTGAGATTGAAAACCAATAAAAAAAAGAAAGCTTGAAAACTCAAAGGGTGGCAGAAAGAAGCGAGTCGTACTCGAAAGCACATTATCTTCAGCTCTCCCAAAGTAAAGGTTACAGTGACATGCTGCAGAATAACAAAAACAAGAGCAAACAAGCTAGAAAGCAATAGCAATCACAGTTTTCAGTGCCAGCTCCTTCTGCTCAGAGCCCACGAGCTCCACAGAGCTCCTGCAGCGCTGCAGCRTTGTTTATCAGCTCGCCTGGGCTGGAAGAGGTGCCCACGTCGTTCCTGGGCATGACAGGGCAGCACRACTCCAGATCTCAGCAATCAAAACACTGGCTTGGAGCTGCCCCCGTGCAAATGTCTGAACAACAGAGAGCTGGCCCAGGGATGGCCTTTGTCCATTGTTAGCACACAATAGATCAACACAAACTCGGTGTTTGTCGGGTGTTACGGACCGCAGACGCAGGAACAAAAAAACAAATCTTATTTTTGAGTGTGCAGGGGCAATGTGACAGCTGAATGCCCATATGGTAGAGCCAGCCAGACAGGGATRGGTGCAACTACCAACAGGACACTTTCACACTTCACAGGTATCCTCAGCTACTGAGGGCCCCTCATTTAATGGAGTTTTATAAGACAGGAACAGAGGCACAGATGTTTCTGAAGCCACAATCTGCTGCTGCAGCTGTTGACAGTAGCAGAGCAGTGGGTAGACAGACGTGTCTATATATTAAGCTGGAAGAGGGGAGATTTAGATTAGAGATGGGGAGGAGATTCTTGGCTGTGGGGCTGGTGAGGCCCTGGCACAGGATGCCCAGAGCAGCTGTGGCTGCCCCAGCCCTGAAAGTGTCTAAGGCCAGGYTGGACAGAGGGATAGTAGAAGGGTCCCTRCCCATGGCAAGGGTTGGAATGAAATTAATTTTAAGGCTCTTTCCAACAACCCACTCTGCAATTCCACAATCCCTTTCTGCTCACAGGTGTGCAGTGCAATGGCTGGTCTGTCCACGTCCCGTCTGACGTCACTGGAGAGCTCGGGAAGACTGTTGTCCTGCCCTGCACCTTCACACACCCCTACAAAACCTTCGACCGGGCCCTCACGGCCATCTGGAGGATCAAGGAGCCTTACAACGGCACGGTGGTGTTCAAGTGCGTGAGCCAGAGCAGCAGCGAGCCCTGCAAGACTGYCATCAGCCACAAGAACAAGTACAAGCTGCTGGGCAACCCCAGGCACAAGGAGCTGTCCATCAGGGTGGAGAACYTGACCTGGAGCGACAGCGAGCGGTACTTCTGCCGCGTGGAGCTGGCTGGAGATGTCCACGACAAATACGAGAGCAGGAACGGGATAAAGCTGCATGTGATTGGTAAGAGGGCAGGAGGGACAGAGGAGGCCACAGGATGTGGGAAGTGATAAATGGTGACAGAAGTTCAGCTGGGATGGTTTTCCAAAGGGTTGGSTTTTCTCTCCCCGTGGGTAGTTTGTAACAAGGAATATTCACTGCCTTCCTCAGTCTTCCAGCAGGAGAGACAAYGAGCACAATGCAGGGAAGGGAATAGGGACAAAGCTGGTAAGGGAATGGCAAGGCTGTGGCAGCTGGGATGGGAGYCCACCCAAAAGTGTGCATCCCACTGTGTCCCTGCAGCGCAGGATCAGGGCAGGCAGCAAATCACAGAATTACAGAATCACAGAATCGCAGGGTAATACAATAATAAGGTTTGAAGAGACCTTCAAGATCTCCGAGTCCAACCCATGCCCTGACACCTCAACAAATCCAAGGCCCCCAGAGCCACATCTCTCTTTAAATATACCCAGGGATGGTGACTCCACCACCTCCCCGGCAGACCATTCCAGTGCTTTATCACTCTTTCTGTAAAAAACTTTTCCCTAATATCTTGAAGAGGCAAGCTGGGGTCAGACACCCATGGCTAAAGACATTCTGTGGGGCTAAAGACATCCTGTCCATCAGACCCTGAACTGTGAACGTTCACAGGTGTCAGCACAACCRGGCCTGGGTGCTAACAGGGGTCTGGAGAGATGAGATACCCAGTACCCAGGTGCCATAAACCCAAACTCCTCTGGAGCATGGAAYACCAAATACAGACATCCTGGAAAACCAGCCCAGAGCAACAAATGTCAAATGCTCATCCCACTTGYCAGGGCAAGCTCACAGGCAGCAGGGAGCTAGGACACACAGGAGGCCTCAGAAGCAGGCTCAGATCTCACCCAGGCCCTGATGTTGGATGATTTTGCTTTTGAGAGGGAATTCCTTCATACCTTGCTGTGCAGAGGGGATGTCCAGATGGGACCAAGGATGATCTTGGTTGTTTCTTGAGAAGTTCTGCACAGGTGGAGTTCTCTCCTTTCCCTGGAGCAGCTCCTGAGCAGCCACACATGGCAGGACCAGGGCAGGATGGCAGCAAGACCCATCTCTCAGGGGCTGCCAGGATTTCAACACCAGAGGAATGAAAACACACACAGGCTGCACCCTGCTTGGGAGTGGGCCCTGAGGCTGTGATTGGGAGGGGCTAATTAATGCTTAGAAGGTTAATTTAAACACCTAAACACACAGATCCATGACACACAGCCTCAGACTCCTCTTGAATTATATGGATTCATGCTGTAGGTAATTGTAAAGTCTGTTTTTGTTGTCTAGCCTGAAAAAATTGAGTTCATTCTCTTCCTCTTTGAGGACACTGATTTAGTGCCCTTCACTTTTCACAACACYTTTTTGARCAYCTYCAGGRATGGGGACTCCCCCACYTCCCTGGGCAGCCCCTTTCAACRTCTGCTCACCCTTCCTGTGAAAAAATTTCTCCTAATRTCCAACCTGAAAGTRACCTGGTCACTCAGSCTTGAAAAAAGCACCAAAAATAGGAAATTTTCCCTATAACCTGCCAAATCTGGCAAGTTTCAGGCACGGAGCAAAGGGCTCATGAACAGATCCAYCCATGTGTGCTCTGAGGTCCCAAAYCMAMAGAACAACTGTGGAATGCTTGAGCAGAACACGGTGGTTGCTGTGTCCTGGACCATGTGGAGATGCAGCCAAGTCCAGCACAGTCACCAGCTGCCCCTGTGCCTCCACGGTGGGTGGCACTTCTCTGCCTTCTGCCACCAAAGAGGGGCACAACAGCTGAAGCTGACCAAAGTTCAGAAAAATGTGTGAGGCATTACTGGGATAAAACAGAGTACATGTCCTTGGACCCAGGCTTTGCTGGGTGAATCATTTCGCCCCTCTATCCAACATGGGCTGGGTGGGGAAATCCAGGGGAAGAAAGTGCCAAGAAAAAAAAGGAAGGAGAGGGCTGATCCCAACATCCACAGAGTCATAGAACAGTTTCTGTTGAAGAAAATGTTTAAAGCACATCATATCCTTTAAAGCACGATCTCCATGGGCAGGGACACTTTCCACTGTACCAGGTTGYTCCAAGCCCCAATGTCCAGCCCGGCCTTGGACACTGCCAGGGATCCAGGGGCAGCCACAGCTGCTCTGAGCAAYCCTCTTTCCAAAAAATTCCTCTTTACATCCAAAGTGAATCTCTCCTCTTTTTGTTTACGAACATCAACCCTTGTCCCGTCACACTAAAAACTTCATCCCCGTTTTTCTTGGAGTCCCTTTAGGCCCCAAAAGGGGCTCTGAGCTCTCCCTGGGGCCTTCTCTTGTCCAGGTGAGCACCCCCAGCTCTCCCAGCCTGGCTCCAGAGCAGAGGGGCTCCAGCCCTGGCAGCATCTCCGTGCCCTCCTCTGGCCTGGCTGCAGCAACTCCAGGTCCCTGTGCTGTTGTTGCCCAGGGCTGGGGCAGCTCTGCAGGTGGGGTCTCACCTGAGCGGGGCAGAGGGGCACAATCCCCCCCTCCCCTGCTGCCCACGCTGGGGCTCAGCCCAGGGCTCGGGGGGTTCAGGGCYGGGGCAGGTYCWGCTCTCACCCCCCAGTATCCAAATTTACCCTGACAGAACCATGCTGAGGGTCCACCAAGACCAGAACCTGACTCCAGGTGTTGTGCCAGATGTGCCTTTGCAGCCTGACCCCCTCTCCCTTCCCGCAGCCGCCCCCAGGATCATCAACATCACGGTCAGCTCCAGCAGGGACCACACATTCCAGGCTCGCTGCACRGCCGAGGGGGAGCCAGCACCTGCCCTGACCTGGACAGGACCCCCCAACAGCAACCTGAGCTCCAGCAGCAGCAGCAGCCACCGCGTCACCAGGGAGCTGCGGTCCCTGAGCCACGATGGCAAATACACCTGCACCGCRGTCAACAGCCACGGCAGGGCCGAGGGCACCGTCTACTTCTACAGGTTCAGAGCTTCCGACAGCTCCTCCTTCATGATCCTGACCTTCGTGCCGCTGGGAATCAAGGTGCTGCTCTTGCTGGGGATTCTGAGCCTCACCATTTTCTCCAGAGAAGGTCAGTGCTGTGACTGCCACCCGACCGGCAGTCTGGGACTGAGTTTGTTTTGGGGGTGTGGGTGTTAATGATTTTATGGTTGTCTCCTCTAGAAGGACATTTCTAGCAGGAAACACAAGAGGAGCCAAGAGTTCTTGGCTGGCAGGTCACAGCTTGCTGACAGAGGGTCTCCTTTGGGAAGGGGCCTTTGAAAATTCAGGGGGAGCAGGAGTTTCTCTGTGCCCAAGAAGAAATGTTAATAAACCAAAAGAGGTTTATTAGTCTATTAGTGAAGAACCCATTGTCTAAATAACCAGATTTTTTTCCTTGAGGCAGACTAATTACCATCTCTTCCCCTACAACCTGCAGCCAGGATCTATCTTTACCACATCCTACACAAGTTTAATCTCCTGGGATGGACATCCTCATTTTGCATTACTGCCCCTGTCAGACCCCCAAGGCCTCACTACCCAGTAGTTCCCCACCACCTGTGAAATCCCAGCTTCCAGCCCCACCAAGGCTGTGGGATCAGGGAATGCCAAGCTTACAGCAGATGAGAATCAGCCCACAGACTGAGGGATTGGACACCTCAGGAAAGCAGGAGGCTGCTGGCCCCCAGACCTTCAGTGCTGCTGAGGGTGGCATGGGCAGGACAAGAGGCATGAGCTGTCACATCACTGTGACTCTTCTGTAGGCACAGTTTGATGTCACACTTATGGAAGCCACTAAGTGTCTTCAACAGTAGAAGCTGCCAGACAACCAAAAATGCTTTGCTCCTTATATTCCAGTTCCTAATTCACAAGAACATGAAGAGGGAGGGCCATGTGCCTGACATCAGGTCTTCTTCCCACTCACTGGAGTGTCACTGGAGTGTCACAACCACCCTCCAGTGCAGCTTCCCAACACCTCTAGGTCACTCCTGGCTTCCCAGCCCACTCTGACCTCACTGCTAACCCACATCCTCCTTCYCACTTCACAGGTCCCCCCTCTGCTCCCTCCAGCCTGGCCAGGTAAGGATGTCTTGCCTTCTTCTCGTGTTCCCCTGCAGGAGAGTGGGGATGGCCAAGGTGAGAAATGCAGGGTGTCCTTCATCTTGGTAACGATTTTCTGGCCTCAGAGCAGGCTCCTGGGACAAGGAGAGGGCTGGGTTGATGTCCAGGTGAGCCAGTGTGAGGGAACAAGGGCTGGACACAGCCAGGAGGAGACCCCAGTGGTGTGAGGACAAGGGACTGGGACAGTTTGGAGAGACCACAGCACACAGCTGACACACCAGCAAAGAGCTGACTGAGGTTTAGCTGTGCCATGAGCCCAGAGCAC